GGCTGGAGAGATGGCTCAGAGGTTAAGAGCATTGCCTGCTCTTCCAAAGGTCCTGAGTTCAATTCCCAGCAACCACATGGTGGCTCACAACCATCTGTAATGAGGTCTGGTGCCCTCTTCTGGCCTGCAGGCATACACACAGACAGAATATTGTATACATAATAAATAAATAAATATTTAAAAAAAAAAGAAATGAACCACTGGTAAAAATCCAACTAGTTCAAATTTATGGACTTAGTAAAGGCTGGTTAAAGTCTGATCATGTTAAGAAACAGGTACTGTTTCCCAGCCAGGTAGTGGTTCCACTCCCACTGCCTGTTCAGATAGTAGCATGCTCCTTTTCATTGATACTGCATCCTGCTGAGACCCGCCAGGGTCAGGTAAACTGGGTTCTTGAGGGCCCACTTGAAAGTAGTGATTATGGTCTGTGCTTCCAACAGCATCCATGGATTTGTAGACAAATGATCAAACCTGATGTTGAGGTAAGGTGCAAACGCAATGGGTCTTGTAGGAAGAGGAAGCAGGAGGCAGGTGATAGGGGAATGGAGAACTACAAGCCAGTGAGATCGAGCCCTCGGGAGTAAGGAGCGTGAGAGGCGCAGACTCAGAAGGAACTCTACCTGGCTGATATCAGTGACAGAGGACAGTGGCTCTTAGATGGTCCTATACACTGTAAGGTAATCCTCCCAGAGCAGGCACAGGGCTGAATTGTAGAAGACACACGTAGTCTCAGAGTAGCACACATACCTGTTTTAAACCTGCCAAGGAAACCAGAATTTGATCTTCTTTTTCCAAATTCTCTTGTAATACCACATCTTGAATATTAACTGAAAATAGAAAAATGACATTTTATAACAAACGTGCTGTGTACAACTTACATACTGCCACACAACTTTAGAGGTCACCTGCACTAAGGCTGCTCTGCACACTGCCCAACAAGCAGACCCTACCTGCAGGCTTAGCCCTGCACTCCTGAGTGTGCTGGTAATGGCAGGTGGTGTTGCGCTCCCATGAGACACTGGGAATCTCTCGCTGACACTGACTTGGAGTTTGACCAGATCTGGAGCCCTTGTCCCATTTATAGGAGGAAAAGTTCTTCCTTGAGCTTTCTTCACAACCTTACAGATCAATGGTACTTAACCTGCTTCTTTCTAAAGATCAGGTCCTCCTACATGACTAAAATAAATAAATAGGTTGTCTCTGTTGACTTGTAAGGATAAATCATGCTGCCAATACAGTAGAACATTAATAGTAAGAAGGAAATCTCATGGCACTGAGACCTCAGATGCCAATGCCTATGGAGCCATCTTGCTTCAACCCGTGTCTCTAAAGGAGAAGGTTTCTGTTCTCTAGGGACCGTAGGTGTTTCCTTCAGTACTGACCTAAGGGATCAGCCAAACCAGTGCTGACCATCACTGATACTCAGCACCCACTGATATATCACACTGCTATGTACTGTGGGGTAGGAAGACACAATTAAAACATTTTACACAAGGTACTGCTAGGCAAACCAGGTCTGAGACTCACTTTAAATAGGTTCCACAGTTCTTACACCTTTTAAGTTCTCTGATTACAATGGCCTTAGAAAATATCCAACTTCTAATTCTTTTTATCTTTTTAAATTTCTTTTTTTTATTTTTATTGAGCTATACACTTTTCTCTGCTCCTCTTCCTTCCCCCCTCCTTCCCTTCAATCCTTTTCCATGGTCCTCATGCTCCCAATTTACTCAGGAGATCTTGGCTTTTTCTACTTCCCATATAGATTATGTATGTCTCTCTTAGGGTCCTCTATGTTGTCTAGGTTCTCTGGGATTGTGAATTGTAGGCTGGTTTTCTTTGCTTTATGTCTAAATCCACTTATGAGTGAGTACATATGATATTTGTCTTTCTGTGTCTAACCTCTAATTCTTGAAACATTATATTCTTCCCTTGACACCTGCCCAAGGAATACATGTCTCATGTGTGCCTCTCTTGTGCCCCTTCTGGTATTTCCTCACACCTCCAACCCTGTCTAGCCCCCACCCCTAGACAGGCAGTCCAGACTCCACCAGCAAGCCTATCCTGCTCTCTATTTTATCCGTCCCTGCTATCCATACTTGACCCCTTCTCTAGGCAGACACTAGGCCCATGCCACTAATTCCACTCACCCTGCAACCTGTGGACTCACCCTGTCTAGGAGTACCAGACCCCGTAACAGTAGTCCTCGCATCCTCATGACCTGCCCTAGTGACACATGCTTTATGCCTGCCTTAAGCTTTTTCTGGCACTGCGTTTTCAGGTAAGAAGGCTTAACTCATGCTGATAATCCATCCACCCCTGCTCAGCACCCTTATCCTGTCCCACCTTTAGGCAGGGAATCTAGACTCCTTTCACCAATGAACCCGTGCCATGCAAACTCCACCTTCCCTGCGCCCATACTTGGCTTCTTCTCTATCAAGACAATAGAGTCACACTCCCAACTCCACCCATTCCCAAGACCTGAGTACTACCCCTCTCCAAAAAGGCTCACAACTTGTGTACCTGAAACTTCATTAACCCCTCTATCTTGTCAGAGGACCAAACACGTGTTCTGTGAGTCTTCCTGTTGTAGAATACTATTTTAAGATGGGTTACATTTGTTTCTGCTGTGGAACATTTGTCTAATGATGCAAAGATGTGCTACATTCTTTTATGTTGCATTTGTTTAACTCTGTGAAGCTGTGTTACTTTGCCTGTCTAAAACACCTGATAGGTCTAATAAAGAGCTGAACGGCCAATAGCTAGACAGGAGAAAGGACAGGTGGGGCTGGCAGGCAGAGGAAATAAACACAGGAGAAATCTGGGAAGAAGGACTCAGTGAAAGAAGGAGGAGAGGAGGACTTGAGGAACCAGCCACCCAGTTATACAGCAAGCATGGAGTAAGAAGTAGAGAAATGAATATAGAAATAGAGAGAGATAAAAGCCCAGAGGCAAAAGGTAGTCAGGATAAATTAAGAAAAGCTGGCCAAAACCAAGCCAAGCTAAGACTATAATAATAAGTCTCCATAGGAAGTTATTTGTGAGTTTGGTGACAGGCCCTCCAAAGAATCAAAGAGTAAAAAAGTTAAAAACAAAAGAAAACAAAACAACCAACCAACATCTTCCACCACCTCTTGGCCTCTCCTCTTCATGCAGGGATTCTAGACTTGAACTGTCAACTCCACCAGAAACCCATGCCTAAAGAGGAGTTCTAAGCATTTTCCCCGGACTCCTGAACACTGGCTGTGAGAATCTTCTGGATTTATGGTCTTCTGAGCTTAGAAACATGTCTTGGCTCATGCTGAGACTGCACTCAAACATCAGCACTGTTTTGCCCAGGGAGTGAAACTAAAGCCCCAGAAAGCTGGTCACCTGATAAAATGGGGCATTAGGAAACAGGTTCAAACACATACTCAATAAAATACAGATAAGATTTTCATACTAAGAAACAGTACTGATGACCTAACTGCAGATGCCTAGGTGCCATCTGAAATCTACAATCATGAATAACCAAAAGAAGACTGTAACAAAAATGAGTATCCCCATAGTAATGTCCCCTGAGAAAAGCAACTTAGATAATTCATAAGACAATGAATTTGGAATAGCAATAATAAACATGATGAAGAACTCAAAGACACTCTGAATTAATGCTAGAATGAAGACCACAAAACACATTTAATGAAATAATGAAAACAATTCAAGACATGAAAGTAGAATCTAATAAAGAAATAGAATCTCTGAAGACAAGTCAAAATGAAATAAAACTCGAAAAATTCAAAAATCAAACAAAAAAATCTTAAGGAAGCCTCACCAACACACTGCATCAAGTGGGATAGAGAATATCTGGTCTCGAAGGCAGAATAATTGGCTCACTTGGTCTAAGAAAAATGTCAAGACAAAACAAAAACCAACAACAGCAACAAACAAACAGAAGAGAAAACACGCAGGAACTGTGGAACTTTATATAAAAACATGCCAAACCCATGAATAACAGTTATGGCAGAGGGAGAAGAGAACCTGGTCAACAAGATCAACAGGAAGCTTCCCTAATCTAAACAGAGATGTCTATCAAGCTCCAAGAAGCTTATAGAAAACTAAACACAGAGGCCAGAAAAGAAACTCCCTGTGTCACGTAATAGTTCAAACACTAATGCACAAAACAGAAAAAGGATATTGAAGACAGCAAGAGATTAAGATCAACTAACTAATATACAAAGGCAACTCTATCAGAATTATAGCAGATTTTTCATCAGCGACATTGAAAACCAGAAGGGAATGGACTGAAAGTTTTACAAATTATGAAAGACTACAGATTCCTATTAGAATATTACATGTAATAAAACTACCAGTCTTCCATAATATAAGCACAGAGGAAATTTTATATAATAAAACAGATTTAATTTATGACTACTAATCTACCTCTATACAAGCTACTGGAAGGAATGTATATGTCTGAAAAGAATGTTAAACATACAAGGAACAAGTAACCCTGGAAAGCTAAGTCACGAGAGGTCTAGTTGGGGCTGCAGTGATGGCTTAAGGTAGAGGTGGCTGTTCTTGAAGAGGAGATGGATTCAATTCCTAGCATGGCTGGTCACAACTAGTAACTCTAGTTCCTGGAAGACGGACATCTTTTTTCTGCCATCTGTGGGTACCATGCACACACCTGATGCAGAGATGCGAATACAAGCAAAACAGTCACACATATAAAATAAAAATAAATAAATCTTTATAAAAGATGTCTCACTGAAAACTACAAAAACAAGGAAGAGAAAGGAATACACATTTTTTTCTAAAAAAAAAAAACAACAAAAAAACCAAGCGAATGATTTTTAACTCATCAATAAACAGAAACTGACTAGCTGCTTGAACCAGAAAATAGGAATCCTAATAACTTGTTCTTTACCCATAGATCAATGCATCTCTCACCCCTCATTGGAGAATCTTCTATTTGCAGTAGATGGTGATTAATACAGAGACCCACAATTGGGCAAGCCACAGAGAAGAGACTGTGAATGCTTTTCTCTAAAGGGATATGGATGTGTGTGTGTGTTTGTGTGTGTGTGTGTGTGTGTGTGTGTGTGGATCAGAGGTGGTAGGTGACTACATACAGAAGGCAGCTGCATATGTGAACTAATAGCAGCTGCAACAGTACACATATAAGACTTGTGCAAGATCAAGTCAGACTAAATCTCAGCATGGAAGCAGGACTAGGGTACAAAGCCCCATCACTAAATGTAGATACTGGCAGTTGTTACCTGCTAGGAGAAGGAGAAATAGTTTTCTCTAAGAGTGTATCTTCTGGTAGGTCTAGTGGAAGATTACACACATCGAAGAATATTTGAACAACACAAACTGGTCTTTATGGGAAAAAAAAGGACACAAAGTTGAGTGAGTAAGGAAGAGGGGGTAGATCTGGGAAGAGTCATGGGAGAGATGGTAAATAAGATAAAAACACATTGATATAATTCTCAAATAACTAAAACAAGTATTAAAACAGAACAAAGTAAAATATTGCATTCGGTTATGGGATATTTGGTCGCACTGTGAAACTCTGAGACTGTGTTAATAAAATTAACCTTGGATCAGTAGGCAGCGGCAGAGAGTAGTTGACAAGAATTAGCCATAAAGAATACGGAGGAGAAAGGAATAGGACAGGTGCACAGCAAGGAGTAGGGAGAGACTTAGAGATTCATGGCCTTTTTCTGGTTTGGAAAGGATGGGAAGATGCTCTCTTGCTGGGTCTCCAGCAGAAAAGGAAGGTCAGCTGGTTGTGTCTCAGCTTCTCTGATCTAGCAGGTTTTCACCCCAACATCTGACCTGAGTCTTT